CTCTGCAATGGCCTATACCCTGCAGAGTACTCTGAATCCTAACAAATCAACCTCTTACCTATCGCTGTGTCTCTCACTGAATTTTTGCAATGAGCTTCATTAGGTCCTGAAGCCAGGCATCATGGGTTTTGGTTGGGTTCAAGTCCCAGGAGAGAGGAGCTGAAGGATGGGAGGAAAAAGCAGTGGGAAAAACGTGCCAAGGAATCCCCTTCATAGCCTGCCAGAAAATCTGCTAAATATCTGACCTGTGCTCACAGTTTTCATTGGCCTGACCCTTGGTACAAAGAAGATTAAAGACAGAACTCCCACCAGCTTGGGTAACAGTACTGGGGCTCAGCAGAGAGTGGAGCTTTGGGGACATACTGAGGAGTAGCCTCTCCAGAGTCCCTCATGTGCACCCACTGCCACTCACCTGTTCGAGGAAACAAGAAACGAGAGACTGTAAAGGAATTAAGATTTCGTTAGGCATATGTCCCTCCAGTCATAGGAGCAAGGACCTCCTACCTTAACTGGAGGTTTTCTCGAATCTGAGACTGAGCCATGTGAGCTTTTCTGCTGAGTTCATTTTTTGCTGTCCCGGTTTCCATCATGATGGGCTTCTTGTCACTTCCCCCGCGCTGGGTTTTCTTTGACTTCTGCTTCTACCAAGGGAGATTTCACCAAGTTGGGCTCCTGCTGTGCTTGGCCTCCTCCTTGCAGGGGCCGTGCTGAGGTTGTTTCAGCCAGGTTAAATCCAAGTCACAGCACCATAGATGCCAGGGGAATGTGTAATTTTCTTGGTTCTGTCTTGTCACAACAAAAATTTGAAGCAATGGATATTAAAGCCCTTAGCTCATCACAGCTCTAGGACAGTGTTACAACTCTGCTCAGTTTTATTTAGAAAATAAAGGAAAACACATCCTTGAGGCATGAAGGCATGCTGACCCAAAAGAACTGAAGAGATAAGAGAAAGAGAGAGAGAGCACGCATGTGCACATGCGTGTGGGAGAGAGAGACCCCACCCCACCCTTTGGTTCCTCTTTTTATATGTTTTATCCTCCCCCTGGGCCTGCCCTATGTAAATTGGGCTAGCCAGGAGTACTGTTTGTTCTACCTGAGGTCCTCACTCTGGTCTTTGGACCTTCCTTTGTTCTATTTTCGAGGGCTTTCTCCTTCCTTGTCTTTTAGCCACTGCCATTCTGGACTCCTTTTTCCTATTCTAACTACCTAACAGAAAGACTAATGCTGAAGGTGAAACTCCAGTATTTTGATCATCTGATGTGAACAGCTGACTCGTTGAAAAAATCCCTGATGCTGGGAAAGATTGAGGACAAAAGAGAAGAGGGCATCAGAGGATGAAATGGCTGGATGGCATCACCGATGCAATGGACATGAACTTGGGCAAATTTGGGGAGATGGTGAGGAACAGGAAAGCCTGGTATGCTGCAGTTTATGGGGTCACAAAGAGTCAGATATGACTGGGCGACTGAACAACAACAACAAATCAATATTATTTAACAGTCAGACATAGGTCAGCATCCTGTTTAAATCTTTTTTTTTCTGTTTAAATTTTTTATTTGCTCTTTGATTTTAAACATGACGGTCTAAGAACTAACATAAAAAGCATGAAATAGGACTTTTCTATTCCAATATATGTTAACAGCAATAGTGTCTGTTGTGTAAGTGAATTTAGAACAAATTGTCCAAAATGTATTTCATAGTCTCACAGTATCCACTCCCCTGCCAGTAAATGTTTTGGGGATCAATATCCCAGCATCTGGAAATTACCAGAGAAGCTGGCATTGATATGACCATAAAATTTTAGGTAGTAATCTAAATAAAATAGAAAATACAAGTAAATGTAAACTGAAGAGAACAGAGATATGTTTTTTTTTTTTTTACTGCATGTCTAGTGACTAGGATAAAGTAGACACTCATATATATCTGTTGATAAATGAAAGGCACCAGTCACTTTAACAACAAGAAGCAACAGTTCAGAGCAGCAAAGAGATTAACACACACCCAGAGATCCCAGCAGAGCTCAGATACCTTTCTTCAAACCTGGCATTCATCCAAGACAGCGTATACTTTGGAACAAAGAAAACATAACCCACAATTCAGCTAAGGTAATTGAAAGAGCACAGTGAAAGACTTTCCTATGGAAATTGACATTTGTTGTCTCTAGATACAGTTTAGAATCATCTCCAGATTTTTTTCCTATCACTGAAATATTGTGCAGTTACAATAAATATCTAATAACAAGTAAAAGCTGATATGAAACTATATCAAATTTTGTAGTATGATTTTTTGCTGTTCAGTTGCTCAGTCATGTCCAACTGATTGTGACCCCATGGACTGTAACACACCAGGCTTCCCCATCTTTCACTATCTCCCTGAGTCTGCTCAAACTCATGTCCATTGAGTCGAATGATGCCATTCAACCATCTCATCCTCTGCTGTGCTGTGAATAAGGTTTCCTTTCCATCTTGGTAAGCATCAGTGATTTTCAAAGAATAGGGACTTTCTCCAAGAGGAACCTCAAAGATGACTGCAAAATTTCTCTTCTTTAGCAAAGAAAGAAGGTGCTTAAGAGGGTAGTTATAGTGGTGAGAGATGAGCCCCCAAATTGACCCTCCTGGGGGCGCAAGTCCAATTCAAGAAAGTGAAGAGGAATGGACTTTATCAGGATGGTGATAGAATTTGGTTCCCACTACGACTGTAACAGTTTACTGCAAACTTGATGGTTTTAAAAAAACAAAACAATAACAATAAAATATTATCTTACAGTCCTGAAGGTTGCAAATAGGAAAGCGGTCTCTTATGTCTCCTGCATTGGCAGGTGGGTTCTTTTCCATTAGCGCCACTGGGAAGCCCATGGACATCATTGGGAGATCTTTATTCAGCCTACCACAATGAGGGTGCCATTTAGTTGGGTTTTAAAATGGGCAGCAATGCCAGCAGTTTTGTGCTCAACCTGAGTTGTTTATAACCACGGTTGCTGTTTGCCCAACGGAGCACAAATGAAGCGGATGGAGACTACAGGGAGGATGTAGAAGTGCAGGAATCAGAGGATTCAAGAAACAGCAGGTTTCTCTCTTAAGTGTTTGGTGGGGCTTTCTCCAAAGAATGGCTGGGGGAAGTAGACTCGTGTGTATAGCAAACGTGTGAGATCCCAATTGGTTCTAATCCTTGGCATATTCCTACCCTGCCAAAGATGATGAGCCCTTGGAATCCCCTGCAAGAGAAGACGTGACAGGAACCAGGAAGAACCAGGACTGCCCCTACATGGTGCCTGACCCCTGGCTGTGGGGTGAGAAACAGGATTGTCTGAGCAGGTGCGGGTCCTGTCAAGGAAAGGTCCTCTTTCCTGGGCAACTGTGGGGACAGTGAAATGGTAAAGTGTGCCACCACAGCGACTGAGACAACAGCAGTGTGGCAGAAAGAATGAAGACACTGGCACAGACAAGTGGTTTGTCTCCTCAGCCAGAGGTCTATCAGGGGCTGCCCTCCCTTAGAAGAGAGGCGGGGGCTCGGCCTCCACGGGCGCCCCCTCCCACTTTCCTCCAGCCCGCGGCCCCTGAAGTTGAAAGCAGCCCCTGAAGTTGAAAGCAGCCCCCCTGCCACCCGCGCCCAAGAAGGATGGCCGGCGTGATGGGGGAAGGGAGGGGGCGGACACCGAACAGAGTGGGGGTTCACACATACACTGCAGGATGGTCTGAATCCATCCGCTGCTCCCTGCAGTGCGACCCGTCCCGACCGGCCGGAGCCGCGCCGCCCATGACCTCCTTAGGCTGCAGGACCAGAAGCGTGGCGGGGGGTCACCCCACGGGGTCGGTGGAGGGCTGGCGAGGCCCCGCCCCTCAGGCTGGCGTACTTCCCGGCCCCGCCCCTTGTGGGTCGGAACTACGCTGGGCCTGGCGGGGGGTGGGTGCGGAGCTTCAAGCCCATTATTGCCGTATCCCTCCGCCCCCCACTTCCTGACACCCTTGCGGCGAGTGGTCGGTGCTGCAGCCTACACATCCTCTGCCTGGTTTGGCGCAGCGGTGCAGTGGGCCAGACGCCTCTTTGTTGTTCTACCCGCACGCCGAGCGGTGGGAAGCCAAAGAGGAACTGCGACCGGAGTGGGAGGACGACCATCGGGACCTTGCGCCTCTGAAGGCAAGTGAGGGTGTCGCGGGGCGATGACCAGCTCACAGCCTATCCCTGGCAACCTGAGGACGGGAAGGCGAGAGGGTCGAAACGGGACCCCTTAGAGAAGTGCGCAGAGGATCCCTGGCGCTGAGACAGCAGGGACCGGCGCGGGCGGGGTGGGGGGGTTGGGGTTCCCTCGGATGCTGGGGAGGTGTACGGCGCGGACTAGTCTCCGCCGGGCTTTCCTGGTGCCTGCGCCCCGCCCTCTACGGTGCCTGTGCGGGGAGAGGGCTGTGCGGGAGGCTGCTATGGACGAAGTGGCAGAGGGAGCCGGGATGGGAGCAGCCCGGGCCATGATTCTGCCAAGGTCCCTGTAGGGCCCCGCGTGCCGGGTGCTGTCCCTTCCCATAGGCACCTCTTTGATGCCAAAGTCTCCTGTCTGTGCAGTAGGTCTGGCAATTTCAGGCCAGGGGGTGCATCTATAGAGGAGAGGCTTGAGGAAAACGAGGAATGGGAAAACGACCTGTTTTTCTGAAGGTGTGTGGGGAATGGGGGGTTGAGGGTGGGCAGCAGCCATTGACTGGACATCTGAATCGGGGTGGGGTGAGTGCGACCAGCGCAGGTCAGGCATCCAGGAATACTTTCTAAAATTCTCCTTTCTACCTGGTTTCTAAATACCCCCCTTGCCTTCCTCTCTCTCCTCTATCCAGAATTGGAGGTGGAAAAGCTGAACTGGGAGATAAAGGTGCGAGAGAAGTCATAAATACAAGTACCACTACACAAACTAGAATATGTGGGTGCTCTTCCCCCAGTTTGTTGTGCAGCACAAAGGAGGTGAACAACAAGTGGTGAATCTTCAGAATTGAAGAAAAGAGTAAGAGGAGTGTGATATGATGTTGAGGGGTTATCCAGAAACCTGGTCCAGATGGCCTAAGTTAAAAGTCTACCTAATGGGACTCTTACATGTTAAAAGGCAGGTAACTTGGGAACTCCTGTGTTTGTGGTGTTTGTCTGTCCCCCAAGTACTCAGTTGCTGCTTTTATTTCTTGACTGTCTTTCTTACCTTTTCATTTGTTTTTCCATAGGCCTGCTTTAAGTCTGGTCACTTCTGCAAGGAAGGAAAGGCAGAGGAATCCAGTTCAAATCTCTGGAGGTTTGTGCAAAGAGGGGCAACACAGGAGACAGCTACAGAGTAATATGGCAGATATCTTTGATCCAAGCGGTTGCAGGGCCTTCTCTACCTCACCTACTCCATGTCAAGTTTGCACACTGCCACAGAGACCCTCCCGTTTCCTGCAGGGTATACTAGGAATATTGGAGTAGGTGTGGACTGGGCTGTGAATGGGAGAGAAATACTTGAGAGTAGAGACCAGGAGACAGAAAATATTAGGCATATTAGACCTTTAAAAGAGAAAGATGTTTGTATCGGGGTCAGGGTTCTCGCTTGTCTTTCTAGCAGTTAGGCTCCATTCTCTATTATATGTTTACTTGTTCTCAGAATAGCCTACAGGCTGCTGTAGAGTTTGACACCACTGGAATCAAAGAAAGGAGCAAGAAATTGTGCTACATCAGTGCAGGTTGGTATGGGAGTGGGTACAGCTTTTGGGTGGGGTAGAAGAGACCAACATAAGTCCAGCAGTGACTAGGGTCTGGCCTTGGGGCTCCTCAGCCTCTCTCATTGCCAAGATACTTTTCCACCAACTTCATACCTATTTTATAACAGGCAAAGTAATATGGCGGCTCTGGGGATAAAAATTATAGACAAAATGAAGGTGATAGACTTTAATAGCCTAACTTTCCCACCAAGCATTTAAGGTCTAGTCTCTCCGTGTGAGTTTTTGCATGGAGTGAGACAGTTGGAAAAGACTCAAACCTCCATGTCATTCTCACTTCCCAGATTGACTTCCAGTGGCAGCTCTGGTGGTGTTGGAATTGCTGCTAAGCACTACCTTCAACAGGTGTGTACCTACCCAGGAACCATCCATCCTCTCCCAGCTTGGTTGTGTTTTCTCTTCACTCTGACTGTAATATTGACTGAGGCTGGGATTGGAAAGGAGGCTTATTGACTGCTGGACTGGTGATTGGCTCTAACTTTTCTTTCCAACTGTATCACCTGAGTCATCAAAAAATTAGAGTGTGAAGATACAAAACTGTGAGAAATCTGTAGTAGAAGCTGAGACTGGGATAGTTGTAGTTATTCAGGTCTCCTCTGTAACTGTACTATGACTGGGGCTGAGATTGAGACTGGTGTCCAGGCCAAGCCTGAAAAGAAGCCTGGCAAAGAGGTTGCCAGTGGGGCTGAAAGAGAGAATGAAGTCCCAGTGGTAGTCAGACCAAAGGTTAGGACCCAGGCCCAGGTAATGCTTGGAGCAAGGCCCAAAACTGAGACTGTGGCAGTAACTAAGACACATCCGAAGAGTGAGGCCAAGGCAATCACTGTAGAAAGGTCCATGGATGAAACCTCTTCATGGGCCAAGACTGAGTTTGATGCTGAGGTCCTACTGAAGACAGAGGGAGTGTCCCACAACAATGCTATAGTCTGGTCACTGATCAGTACTGAGTCTGGGTCAGTTGCAAAACCTAAGATCTCATCTATAGTTAGGGAACTGGCCAGTATGGATGCCGAGTCCTTTCCTGGCACTAAGGTCAAGTCCCACGAATCCAGCATTTGCTTGTTTCAGAGGAGGAGACCAATATGGGGTCTTGGTGCCATCCCAGGCCTACATCCAAAAAGGAGAACTTTCACAATTGTGATTTCAGATGGGTATCTAGATCCTTTATGAACTCCTGGTTCTGGAGTAGAGAAGAGGTCAGTACAAGGCTTCATCCTAGAGATGGGGTAAAAGCCAGTACTAGGTCTAGGCACATGGCCAAAGAAGAGCCTATGTCTAGGCCCCAAACCAGTTGGAAACTCTATGTTGCCTCCAGTTCTGGTTCTGAAGATGAATCTATCAAGAAATCCTGGTTCTGGGTCAGAGAAAAGACCAGTATCTGGTCTAGGCCTAGGGAAGAGACCAATAGTAGGTCCTGGTTTAGGTCTAAGAAAGAAGTCTGTGAATCCAGTTCTGGGTCTGAATGTGACGACAGTGTCAAATCCTGGTTTTGGGCTGGAGAGGAGGGTAGGCACAAACCCCGAGCCAGGAAGGGGGCCAATGTCAGTGCCAGGCACAGGGCCAAGCAAGAAACTTCCATTGATTTCATGTCTGGGTCTATGGATGTAGTCAAAAAAGAGCCTTGGTTCTGGCCCGGAGAGAAGGCTAATAACTTGGCTGAGCCCAAGTCCAAGAAAGAGGTCAGGGCCAGAGCAGTGGTAAAGGAGGAAGCCAAAATCAAGGCCAGAGCTAGGGCCAAGCAAGAAGCCAGGCCAGAGGAAGAGTTCCTCACCGGGGCCTGGTTCTCGGCTGCGGAAGACTCCAGCATGGTTGGTAGGGCCACTATCAAATCTGGTTCTCAAGTGGAGGATGATTCCATTGTGGCAGTTGGTTCTGGACTGAAGAAGAAACCAGTGGTACATTCAGACCACAGACTGAGCAGGATCCTATTGGCAGTTCCGTGCTTGGAACTGGGGAAAAGACCAGTGTGGAAACTGAGGCTGATGCCACTTCCAAATCAGTGCCAACAGATGAGAAAGAAAAGGTCATTGCCAGTTTTTGCTGGGCTAATGAAGAAACCAACCCAGAGGCAGAAGAAGAGACCATTTTTGGATCTTGGTTTTGGGTCAGTGATGAGGCCAGTATGGAAGCTGGGGTTGGGGCCAACTGTGGGTCCAGGCGAAAGTCTGAGGAAGAAGAGGTCATTGGCCCCTGGTTTTGGGCTGGAGAAGAAATCAGTACAGTGGCTGAGTTCAGAGAAGAGGCCAGGCCAGGAGCTGAAGAGGAGACAGTATTTGGGCCTTGGTTTTGGGCTGGAAACCAGGCCCACATGGATTCTGGGGCAGAAATCAGCTGTGATACTATGCCAGGGACTGAAGAGGAGGAGGAGCACATTATTGGGTCATGGTTCTGGCCTGGAGTAGAAGCTTGTGGGAGGGCTGAAGTGAATAAGTCTAGCCTGGAGGACAAGGATAAGAGTATTACATCCTCTTGGTTTGGGACCACTGAAGAGATCTGTATGAAGTATCCTGCTGGTGCCCAGTGTAAATTTATCACAGCTGCTGAAGAGATTAACAGTGAGTCTGGTTTCTGGTCAGGAGAAGGTCCCTGTATGTTCCCTGCCAACGAAGGCAGCTGGAAGTCTAGGCTAGAGGACGAACAGGACATTGTTGATTCTTGGTTCTGGTCCATAAAATATACAGGGCCAGAGACCATTGTAGATCCCTGGCTATGGGCTGTGGAAGAAAGCAGTACAGATGATAGGGCTGAAGAAGAAGCCAAGCCACCTACCAAAGAGGAGACCATGATCACATCCTGGTTCTGGAAAGGGGATAAAGCCATTATAGAGGCTGCAAACAGAGAAGAATCCAGGCTGGATATTGAAGAGGAAGACATTATTGATTCTTGGTTCTGGGCTAGGGAGGAAGACAGGCTTAAAACAGAAGCAGAGGCTAGAGAAGAGGACAGGCCGGCAGCTGAAGAAGAACTTTTTGTTGGGTCTTGGTTCTGGGCCAGGGAAGAGGCCATTAGGGACGAGGCTAATATTTGCAGCAAATACAGTCCAAAAGCTGGAGAGGAGGAAGTCATTGTTGAGTCCTGGTTCTGGGCTGTAGAAGAGACCAGTCTCAAGGCAGGGGCTAGTTTTGAATACAAGCATGGAGCTGAAAAGGAGGAAATCATTGTTGGGTCCTGGTTCTGGGCTGAAGAAGAGAGTATAGACATTAGACCTCAGGCAGTAGAAGAGACAACATCAAGGTCTGGAGAGGAAACCATTTTTGAATCCTGGTTCTGGGATGCAAAAGAAGTCAATGTAGAAGCCAAAACACACTGTGCGTCTAAGCCAGAGGATGATAAAGAGATGATTGTTGAGTCCTGGTTCTTATCTGGAGACAAGGACATTAATGAGACTGAAACTGGAGCCACCTCTTGAGTCTAGGGCAGAAAATGAGGAAGGGGCAATTGTTGGGTCCTGGTTTGTGGCTTAAAATGAGGACAATAACAGGCCTGGTGATGGAACCAACTGTGAGTCCAGGATAATAGCTGAGGAGGATGAGGCCATCGTGGGGTCCTGGTTTTGGGCAGGAGATGAGACCCATTTTGAATCAGATCCTAGCCCTGTATACAGGGCCATTTCCAATTCCAGATGTTCAGTTGACACAGGCCCCAGAGCTGGGAGGAGGTTACTGTTCAGTTCAAGCCTGGCCCATGGGGTAGGGTTGGCTTCCCATCCCCAAGCCCCTTTAGATTTTCAAAAGAAGCAGCATTTCTATTCTCTGAAATGTTTGGAGGAAAGCCAAAGCACATGGAACTGAGCCTAGAAGGGGAATACCAGGAATCTTTGCTTCAGCCTGATCAACCTGACCAAGTTCTCATTTCAGTATGATCCATTCTACTGGTCAGTCATGCAAATTCGGGAGCATCTTAGGACCAGGGAGAGTGCAGAGCCTGAGAGTTGCTCCTGCAGCTGCATACAGTGTGAGCTTAAAATTGGTCCTGAAGAGTTTGAAGAAGAAGAACTATTAATGGACAAAATTCGAGATCCTTGTATTCATGAAATATCTAAAATTGCAATGGGTATGAGAACTACTTCTCAATATGCTTATGATTTCATTCATGATTCAGGTGTTGTCTCACTTATTGAAACCTTGCTCAATTATCCCTCCTCCCGAGTTAGGACAAGGCTTTTAGAGAATATGATTCACATGGCTCCACCTTACCCAAATCTAAACATAATTCAGACATATGTATATCAGGTATGTGAGGAAACTGTTGCTTATAGCTTGGCTTCCCCTGAGCAGTTATCTGGAATAAAGATGGTTAGACACCTCACTAGAGCCACTGACTATCACACAGTGGTTGCCAGGTATATATCTGGGTTTCTTTTGTTATTAGCCACAGGCAATACTGAAACGAGGTTTCATGTTTTGAAAATGCTGTTGAATTTGTCTGAAAATCCTGTCATGACAAAAGAACTACTCAATGCTGAAGCAGTGTCAGAATTGGTGGGCCTTTTTAGCAGGAAAGAGACAAATAATATTCAAGTTGTTCTAGAAATGCTTGAGAATATTGGTAACAATATAAAAAAAGAGGTGGTGTTCACTGATGATGATTTCAGTCTTGAGCCACTTACTTCTGCATTCCATGAAATTGAGAAATTTGCTAAGGAACTGCAAGGCAAAATAGACCATAAAAATGACCCCGAGGCAGACCAAAAAAATGAGTATGATTAATTACTTGGCTGTGATTATCCTTATGTTCCTGAGTTATGATCCTTGAATAACGTTTTCAAAGTTGGTTCTATGTTGTAATGTGCATCCTTAATGCTGATACTAACTTTGCCCAACTTTGTATGAGCTGGATCTATCTTCTGATGCCAAACAAATACTAAAACTGAAAGCACATTTGTTGATACTTGTTTTTGTCCAGATTGTGAATTTAGTATTTAAACTTACAGTGAATTGAGCCATCATAAGTAAGCTACCCTTTTGATTGTTGTTCTGGTGTTACTGATGTCGATTTGAGTCATGCCCTGTTTTCAATAAAGTTCTGTGTTTAAGTAGGCAGAAATCACCCTTCTCCTTGAAGTTAAAATATAGATGCCAAGATAACACATGACAACATAGAGATAATTAATGTATGAATAATAATGTTCCTTGAAAAAGCTTATTCTTATATCTGTAAATGCAAATGTTACCATGGGTTGCTACTCAGGGTATGATTTAGAGAAAAAGCACCCAATTGATTTGGGCTCTGAAATGTAGGAAAGAGGTTGGATGTTGTGAAGAAAAGCTCACAGTTGGAATAGTGCTCCTATGGGAGTGAGGTATCCAGTCTGCCTGGAGTGGCTATGAGGAGTATTAAGCGAT